AAAAAAACACTTGATTCAGTCTTTAACACCGTTTTCATAAATCTAGACATATATTTCAAGGGAACAAGACTGCATGACCCAGAAAGGTCGAAAAACGAGCGTGTCTAATTTCTATGGATCTTTCTAAAGCATTTAGAGTCAAACTAGGGAATTCCCTGAGCGGTTTAGGACATTCTGTGCCAAGATATGTCTGAATTTATGAAAACCGTGTTAAAGACTTTGCACCAAAATAGGGGGCATGTTTTTGGAAAATCGGTTAGATGTATATTATAAGTTAACCTTTCTCTTGCAGACGCCCTCCGTTCGAAAGTATTACCTATCAACATGACAATCGCAGCCAAATACGCCACGCAAATCAAACACAAAAATCAAGAGCGCTCTGTGCAAAAAATAAGGATACAATTAGCAGTTTTTTTCTTCTCCTTCAATTAAAAGCGACAGAAAAAGGCTTTAGTAGCAACGATTTTTGATAACCAGAATTTAATTAGCTGAACTTGAATTGTTTTGTCTGTATTTGAAGTAGTCTCTTCAGTAAGGGTTTTCAGAGCTTTTCAATTGAATTAGCGCCAGGTATTTTTGCCTGTGTAAATTCCAAATTAAATTCCATTTTGCTTGATAGAGGCTAACTTATCGCCTAGGTTCAATTTTAGGCGTGAAAATGATTGCCCTTTTGGTCCTTCTGATACTACCGGTGACTGTTACGTTGTGTCGATAAATAGCTTTTGAGCGAGGATTAAGTTTAAGCATGCAGCGACGAGCCCCTACGTCAGTCCAGAATGGTGATAGCATAAGCTTTTTCGCTTTTGGTTTTGAGTAGGAGTCCTCCTTATTCAAAGTTCATAAAGAACTTAGACGTATGTCTTTAGAGGAGTAATTAATCTCAGTGGGTTAACTTAAGAGCAGCCGTCCCTTCGGTAATAGTCGTAAGGGTTGTTCGCTTGTGATTTTCAACGCGCGATTTTTTCAATCGGAATACTTTGACATGAAATGGCGAATTTTGGACGAGGTGCCACTTGCATACCAGTTGCATTTCGCGCTGTTAAATTTATTGATTTAACTGTAGCTTGAAAAATTTAACTGGACGCATTACAAGAAGCATTGCTCTTTCATTTGGCTTTTTTAAATTTTACCGCATCATGTAACAAGTTGCTTTTTTCTGCTCTCAATTTGGCCATTTTTTTGTGACGCTGTAATCGCGAAAATGATATTTATTTAGGAACACTTCTAATATTGTGGTTAACGGGGACGAACACGGCGTCACAACGCTTATCATGCTCCGATGATCCCGACAAAAAGAAAAAAGAGACGGAAATAATTGCGACGGTACAGGTCAATGGTTTTTCTGATGGCTTGACGCAGACTTTTATACTACTCGGTCTTTCAACAACCTGAGTGAGATTTTGAACAGAAAACTCCAGCAAGTCTAATTTTTTTCGAAATGCTTCGAATAAAACAATTGATTCAATTAGACCCAAATGAGTGTACTTTAAAGAAAAGAAGGCTGGGGTGAGTGACTGCTTGACTAACCGAGTGACTTATTTCCGTTTTAAAACTTAGACAAAAACGAAACTGAAAAGTATGGGAACGAAAACAGTTGAATTACTAATTATATTTACCGCAATCCTCACAAGCCAGTACTCTATGATCTAGAAAAGTACACAAAACTCGGCTTGGACGACGCCAGTTCTATTCTCATGTTAAAGGATGCCGAGCTTGTACAGCGCCTTTTGGGGGAACTAGCCCAGTGAGGTACTCTTTGTCGTAAAACAGCCAACACAAGTTGAATTGCAAGATATGTTTAATATTTCGATTCCAGACCTTTTCTTTCTTCTCTGGATTACACTTCTCAGAAAGTTCTCCTCTGTTATTCATTGTCCATATGCCTTCTTTTCAAAATGCTCTTCTCACAATTGCTGATTATACGTATTCAGTTAAGCTAGTAGTCTATGATAAGAACACTCTACAAACCTGGTTTCGACAACAAGCTTATTCTCACTATTGTTTTCTTCCTTGTATTTGACTACAATTGTAATCCCGCAAAAAAATGGAAATTATCTTTAACTTAATTTGACTTTAAAGCTAATGTTTATCAAATCCCAAAAGAAATCCTCGAATTGATGGTATCAAACACTAATTCCGATTAAACGGCTTTCAATTAAAAAAAAAGAAAAAAGAAAAAAACTTTTCTTCTGCTTGTTGTCGTCTTGGCTTTTCGTGAAGCCTTTACTTGGCCTGCCTTGGCAGTCCAGAATGAGCTTCCGCATGCTCATACAGCTTAACATTGTCGTAATCCTTGTCATGCCATGTTATCTCAATTCGGTGATTCACAAAATGATAATCTGGCAACTGGACAACCTTCTTAGCTCTGCATGCAAAGAGGCAAAGGAACTCAAATTAGTGACACTGGGTCGAGTGCATCAGCATACAACAAATACAATACTGGTTTAGAAGTTAAAACTGCTGGCAGTGATCGTTGCCAGTTGCTCGCTGGGTAAATAACTGGATTTTTCCTTCGTGGTTCAGATATTCTTGGAGTCACGTTCAACACCAATCCCCACATCGGGCATCTCTAATCTAGAGGTCAGTGATTCCACTGCATGTAACAGTGACCACTAAAACTTAGTCATATCTTGATAAACCTATTCATGTATCCTTATTGTGAGTCATCAATATGTTGAACGCATATTAAAAAAGAAGAACTTACTTGTAAGTAGTTTTGAAGTCACATCGGTAATGGCCACCTCCTTCAAGCAACAGAGCCATGTTAACATCACCCTTCACCACTCCATCACGCACATACATTTTCTCCGTGGATGGCTCCCATTTCACGGTCTTCTTCTGCATAACTGGACTATTGGCAGGAAAGTTCACTCCATCAAATCGAATTTCATAGAAGAAACAGTCACGGTTGTCGTCGTCTTTCTTCATTCTGATAAAAAAGAAACAAACATAGTCAGTGTTACCACGCAAATATAGAAGGAACACTTTGTCACGTGTTAAAATTAAAAATATAGAGAAAAAGATTCTCAACTATACAACGATTATATGAACAAAACTCAGATTTACAGGCATAGTTGGCAATATAATTTAACAGATGATAACAGATGAAACCAGTGGCGATTTTCTTTTTCCTTTTATTATACACAGACAGAACCATTTTGAAAAAATGCCTTAAAGTGCACATAACCCCAAAATATATTTTTAGCGGGATTACATCTTTGTATTGCATGGAGGAAAATGCCGCAACCAGTTGTGTTGCTGGTTAAAACCGCGATTTTTTTTAGGAATCTATAAAAGTCGGGATTACTTAGCACACGACCGAGGGCAACGGAGACTGCGGTTAGTGACGTCTAACAAGGATGCAATGTATTGGCGCCAGTTTTGAACTGAAGAGAAGAGGAGTGGATATTGAAGAGTAGTAATGAATTTCCGTAGTATGTCAATGAACTGACCTTTTCGTGGCGATCTTAAACATATAAGATGTTTAGATGCATTCACGTTTATCGTCCAAACTTCTTCAGATTCTAAACTCAGGAAGACTGTTTCCACGAGCTTGTAAACACCAGTTGATTTAGCGTACTCATTCCACAAGTAATGCAAAGTTGAACTAAATAAATTGCAATCGCTTCGAAGATTTGTAGATAGAATTTCAGAATACTCTGACTTGGGATAACTTTTTGCATGGCAATTCTCCGACGAAAGCATCACGTATTAATTTTAGGTGGTGGCTATTTGTTCAGATCAATAAACTATACACAACTGCGAAGTGCCGCGAACCGAGTCGATCGTTCTCGTAGTACGTGTTAACAGACTAAGAATGTTTGAAACTCTGACTCAAATCAGCTGCAGTCTCCAGAATCATTTAATACATTCAAACAAAGATAATACTTTGGGTCGGGAATATAAATTACCTTGAATTCTACCAAAATTCTGTAACCCGAGAGCCCCTGTAATTTTAATTTTATCGTTACTCATTCCTTCTTCGTTGCAGACTCGCCGTTAGATCAAAATCTTCCCAAATCCTGCTCGCCGGGACGCTTAATATACACTGCCAAGAACTTGATAGGCTCTCGCAGGTTTATACTTATTTTCTAGCTCAGAATAATGTTACAACAACCCTAGGCCACCAAGTATATGTGTGCGAATGTCGTGCGAATAATCTCTTTGTATGACGTCACGAAATGCATGAGACCCAGATCCATCGGGGGGGGCGGGGGGGGGGGGGGGGGG